CTCTTCCCCCTCCTCATCACTGCTTTTAATTCTCAGGGGAGCTGGGATGCTTTGGGAGTTGAAAGTAATTACAACATTAAAAATACACAACATGCTTAAAAGGTATAAAAACACACACAACATTTAAGACCCATGCACCACCCCTTTTGCACCCACCACACGACCAACGGTGGAGACTAATGTGTACTCTGATTTTTTATACATTTTAATGGAAATGCAGCACGTCCTGAGTCGCTCTGAAAAAGCTGTTGTTTTGTGTTTTACAATCGTTATTTTTCTTGTTTTGTTCTCACTGCAAATGATACTGCAGTACATTGTTCATGGTTTTACACTGATCCAGACCACGGCAGAGAGGACGGTCCCAACCAAGCCGATCAAGCAAAAATATCCATTGAAAGAATGCTAATTGTTTTTAGAAAAATATTAAAGCTGCTGCTCTATCTATCTATTTTTGGCATTTCACAAATCTCTGAAAACACCTCAAAAGTCTAATTCTTGAGCTTTAATAGTATAAAAAAACCTGTATTCACTGACATTCTTGGATCAAAACCACAATTTATTTATTGAAATAATAATCTTCCAGTTGTTATTATCAAAATAAAGGTGAATTTTAGCCACAATATCTTATTTTATTTATTTATTCATTCATTTCAAACCTGCACAATACATATTCTTACATATATCAATAGCAGACAAAGCTAGCGGGGCTGGGCTAATTAAAAAGATTAAGGGAAAAAAACAGGTACTTTTTGTGTAATTTTTATGTATTTTTTTGGCATTTTGGATTATTTAGGGTTGCAGCCTGTAAAAGACACATTTTTTTTTTCAAGGTGAGTTGATATAGCTTCAGACATACACAATACTATATAAGATAAGATTGCTTTATTTATCTCACAGCGGAGAAATTTACATGTCACATTTGGCATGGATAGAGACACTCAGATTGTGCAAAGGAGGAAATGTGCAAACATGACATTCACCATTTGTTTTGATACATGTAGGAGTAGCAGGGTTAGGGTTTTGTCGCATGGTTAGGTTTGACAATAAGAGGAGGCCAACAACATTTGAACCAGGCACAAAACACTTAGGACGTATGTTTGTTCATATATTTATAGGATAGAAGCTGGTTAGATGGATGCGTGGGTCGGAGATGCTACAACAGTTTCAGTGCTAAGTGAAAATTTGTTGATGGCGTTGCAACTAATCATGAGGCGATAATGCAAAATCGGAGCGAAAGTGACACCAGTCAGTTCTGTTTAGCACGGGTAATATAAAACACAACAATACTGGGTTTATCAAGTAGGCGGCGCAGTCCAAAACTATTTTACAATTAGTGACACGGTGGCGGAGTGGATAGCACTCTTGCCTCTCAGCAAGAAGTGGAGAGGCGAGTGGAGTTTGCATGTTCTCCCCGTGTCTGCGTAGGTTTCCTCCGGGTACTCCGGTTTCCCCTACCACTAAAAATATGTACAATAGATCTGGCATGCGCCTCCTGTACTGGCGACCCCGCTCCCATATCTGATCTTACTGCTAACATTTAACCAGAGCAAAAAAGCAACTGCAGGATGTTGAGTTTGCATATGTCTTTATTGAAAGGCACTCTTAACAGATCATAGCAAATATTTACCTTCTGGACTTAATTATGATTATTATTATTATTGACACATACAGTAACAGTCTTCAAACAGTAAGTGCTTTGTAACTCTCTAAAGTGCTAACATTCTAATGCAGTTCTCATTCAGATACTAGTGCTGGTTTTCCCATGACATCACGACATTCTGTTGGTGTCGTGGTGTGGACTTTTTGATTATTGTTTACATAGTTTACCTGGTTTTTCAGTGTTACTTATAGTCTGTTCAGTTGATTGCCTATCCAACCTTCATTTTTCTGCTGGTCCACTGCCTTTTTTCTTTGTCTGTTTGCAGGAGCGGACAAAGAAAAAAGTCCATTTTGTTTTTCCAAAATGCAGGAACCAGGAAAACAACAGACAAAGACAATGGACCAGCAACGAATGGGGAAAAGCACAGCAAGGTGGTTCTGGATTGCACCTCCAGACCTTTCTGTGTCGCGTTTGCTATGCTCTCCCTGTGTCTGCTCCGGTTTCCTCCGGGTGCTCCGGTTTCCCCTACCACTAAAAACATGTACAATGTGTTGGTCAGAGGCTTTGATCCATCTGTGTATTCGCCGTCTCGCTTCTCAAAGCATCACCGTGTGGAGAAAACTGAAAAATATCCGTACTCTCCATAATTGTAAATGCACTTTTGTGACCTCTGTCTGTAAAATGCACTGTATACAGTAAATAAACATTACTTACTTACTAACTTAAACTACAAGAGAACCAATACATAACAAAAACCCATGGAAATAATCAAAAAGTCCGCACCATGACAGTTGGCCTAATATTCAGGGCGAGTCAAACGTCCAGTGACGACAGTGAGACATTTTGCTGTCAGTAAGAGACACCTCACCTGAGCGTATTACATTCAGTAAAATGAATCATACATTATAACGTCAGTATAATATTATTGCTTGATATTCAAAGGCAACGGCTGAGGTAAAATGCTCCCTATACCTTTACAGTACATATCTGTATTTATAACAAAGCCACGTTAAGTACATTCTCAAGGCAGACGTGATGCATGCATATATAGTACCGTAAGATCGACATTAGTCCGGATCAATATAATAATTGGCCTTTCTTTTCTTCTTGGATAAAATGAACACTACCACAATACACTAATATACATCATAAACATACATATATTGAACACATTTATAACATGTGCAAAGTTCCCTTTTGATACATAGTGCTGCTGTGCAATTCCAAAAAGATGGAAGAAAAAAAGTTTAGATTTTTATTTCTCTTAACTTTGGTCTCATCTTTTTCCCCACAATGCAAAAAAATGATAAAATATGAGGTAATAATTGCTTCAATCAAGAGGCTTGAAAACTAATTTGAGCACATTCTGACCAGTCGTTTTGTCTATTTTCAAGAATTGTTGCTCTATTTTGTCATTCCAAGGGAGACATCTCTTGTATCTTTTTAAAATAAAATAATTTTGCTTCGTCCCATTGACAAATCTTTTTTTAAGGCAGTCAAAATGCGCTCAAGTTTTGATACATTTAGCCAAATTTGGGCAATTTTGTACTTATTTTTCATCACTTTTTGCAGGGATAGGTTTCTCAATATACTTTCAAAATGAACCAATATAAAGTTCTCATGGCGTATTGAAAAAATATACTTTAGTGCAGTGAATATTTTAAAGGGTAAGATCTTATTCTCTTGGTTATTGGCATAGCTTTGCGTACATGTCGATTAAGTAAAACTACCACTAGAATGAACCCACTCGAGTCCACACCCGCATGCCTCTGTGTGCTACCAGTGCATGCGAAACAGTTCCTAGTGTCGTTTGTGACTTTGCAGCAGATTAACAGCAGACGTGCGAACATTAATCAGTCAGATTCGGTTACGCTGCGTCACAAGGAGAGCGGCAAGAGCTGACTCTTTGCCGTTATAGATCTGCTGAGGAGGCGATGTTTGTGCATTGACTTACACTGGACACATGCCTGCCCTTGACTCACTTTCTGCTGATTGTTTTGAAGTGAATTCAACCTCGGACTATGAGGTAATTCAAACGATATAAATATATATGCGTCAATCATTTTCTTTCGTTGTGTTTTTTCAAAAGTCGCTCAAAAATTCTCTCTAAATTTTGATATGAGCTCCATTTAAAAGGTGAAACTCGGAAAATTAAATACACTTTTTAAAAAAGTAATTGAACTTACAATTTTACCCTTATGATAATAGTCCTTACCGACATTTGATAAGGACTTATTACAAGCAAAGAGATGTATGTCAAGTAAGTAAGTAATTATTTATATACCGCCTTTTCACTGCAGAGCTGAGTCTCAAAGCGGTTTACAATTGTTGTCAATGTTATGTTTTTGTGAGAACTGGCCTTCACAAAGAGGACATGGGACAAACGCAACATACATAATAAACATAATATTCAATTTATCAGGTCTCGGCGACTCTGATCTTTGGACTAGCTGACACCTGTGGGTTGCCGTCTTTTGCTGTGACACATATTGCCATATAAAATGCATGCCTGAATATCTTTCTGAATAAAAACAAAACTAAAATAGGCCCACAGGCATTTCTGCGTCAGATCCTCAAGTCTTCAAGTCTCAATTTTTCTACATATTGGAGAACAGTTACATTGGACAAACCAGATGCGCTGGGTTCAGTGATATAGCTAGACTATGCTAATTTACAACACTTGTCCATACACTACAAAAAATAATAAAGTATGAGGTGATAATCGCTTGAATCGAGTGGTTTTTATCTTAATCTGAGTACATTCCAACTACCCTAAAACAACATTCGCCAACAAGCCATTAAGACAAGAACTGTTGCTTTATTTTCTCATTCCAAGGGAGAGATTTCTTGTATCTTTTTTAAACCCATTGGAAAATCTTGTTTTAAGGCAGTCAGAATGTGCTCAAACTAAGATACATTTTGTCAAATTTGAGAATTTCTTTACTCATTATTCATTCTTTTTCTGTCTGGGAGACTTTTAGGACATACATGCACACTCAGTTCATATCAAAATATTGTTGTTTTCTGAAATGTATTAGTTGGGGTTTTAACAAGCAGTTTGTCAATCATCAACATTATAAAGACTTGACATATTCCACTGTGCGTGTAGTGACTCATACATTCATTACATTACACTCTCACATTGTAAGTTAGATTCTCATTGTGAGAGCAATTTTGAACAATATTCTAATTTCCCAAGCTTCCCTTGTAATTTATCTTTCAAAATGAACAAGCAGAGATGATGACGTAGTTGTGTTAAAGCACTTTGACACATTCACAAGACAGACAACTTGTGCCAGAATTCCCCACCACACAGTGCCTATTAATACTGTCACTTCCCGCACTACTGCATCCGTGTAAAACAATAACATCTACTTCATGTCTTTTAAACGTCTCTGCATCAGTGCTTACCATTCTTCTCATTCTGCCAGGTCCCATTACTCTTACTGAGAGAAGGAGTGCTTCCGTATTTGTTCGCCGCAGACGTCTTTTGAGCCGCCTCTGCTGCTGCATCCAACATCTGCTTCTCCTCTTGCTCAGTCTCACGATGGTAGAAATAGTTAAAGTTGGAGACAATGACAGGCACAGGCAGGGCAATGGTTAGTACACCAGCAATGGCACATAAGGTGCCAACCATTTTGCCTCCCATCGTAATCGGACACATGTCTCCATACCCCACAGTGGTCATCGTCACCACTGCCCACCAGAAGCCGTCAGGGATGCTCACAAACTGAGTCTGAGGTTCATCCACTTCTGCAAAGTAGATGGCACTTGAGAACAGGATGACTCCGATGAATAGAAAAAAAATAAGAAGTCCCAATTCCCTCATACTGGCTTTCAATGTCTGCCCCAGAATCTGGAGTCCTTTAGAGTGTCGTGAAAGCTTGAATATGCGAAAAACTCTCACAAGACGGATTATTCGAATGAAAGCCAGTGACATGTTCTGGTTGGCGTTCCCTTCGTCTTCCTCTGGGGGCGCTGCCAGCTCGGTTCCCAATGTTACAAAATAGGGAATGATCGAAACTATGTCGATAACATTCATAATGTTATTAAAAAAATCACTTTTGCTGGGGCAGACCACAAAACGGACACCCACTTCAAAGCAAAACCAGATTATGCAAATAGTCTCCACGATAAAAAAGGGGTCAGTGAGAAAGTCCATGATGTCTTTAGCTTGTTTGGAGCTGTCCTGAGTCCCATTAACGGAGTGGACAACACCTGCGATTGTGTCAGTGTCATCTCTGAACTCTGGGAGAGTCTCCAAGCAGAAGATGACAATAGAGATGACAATAACAAACACAGAGACGAGAGCCACTGATCTCGCTGCACTGGAACTTTCGGGGTATTCGAACAACAGCCAGAACTGTCGCTTGACTTCGTTGGTGGGTAGAAGAACTTCAGGCTCTTTAATGAAGCCCTCGTCTTCTCTGAATTGCTCGATGGCCTCGTGACCCAGCTCATAAAAAAGTATTTCATTTGCAAAAACATCCAAAGAAACATTCGCCGGTCTGCGCAGTCTCCCTCCAGACTGATAGTAGTAAAGAATACCATCAAAAGATGGGCGGTTTCGATCAAAAAAGTACTCATTCCTCATTGGATCAAAGTAGCTTATTCTCTTTGTGGGGTTGCCGAGAAGAGTTTCAGGGAACTTGTTGAGTGTGCTGAGCTGGGTCTCAAACACGAGTCCTGAGATATTGATGATTACTTTCTCGTCTCGTTCTTCCAAACATCGTTTGTCAAAGAGATCTTCGTTCTCGTAGGAGTCTTTGACCATCTTACTGAAGGCACTTTCTGTAGGGGACTCACCGTGAATGAGCAGCTTCAGGTTGGACATTAGGCTGCCGCGGCTGGAGCTAGCCTTGGTGGTCAGGGTTGTAGGGGAGGTTGGGGACAGCCCCTCATGCCCAGACAAGAGCCTCCGTCTCCCTCTGTGCGGCGACTGATGAGGCGACGAAAGACGATGTGTAAGAAGATTCTGATCCGGTGCCTCTGAGGTGGGTGAGGTCGGGTATCCTGAGTCACTAGGGTCACCCAGGTTGATACCCACATCATCTATGTTTTCAAAATTAACGAGAGGCACCTCCATTGTTTGTCCTGCTGACCACAACTCTGTCTGTCGCCCTGGAGATACTTATCCCACTCTGAAAAGCCTGGACAAGAATCTTCTTGCCGGGATCATTCAGGCTGATGTCTGCGGCTTTTGCTCTCAGTCCAGTGGGCAGTCTATTTAGGAAGAAAAAGCAAACTTGTCTTAAATGGTGCAGTTTTGTCAGTTAAGACATTTGTCAGCTACTGTTTGCATCAGCACAGAAGCAGCCATCTGATACTGTGCTTGTACAGTTTTCTGCTTTCCCCCCAAATGTTCAACTCACGGCCGAAACAAAACACAAACTCTGCAAATCTGACAGAGTGCTTACACAATGGTAAAGATCAGTATCGTACATAATGTCCAAGAAATCGAATGCAATGTATTATGTTCTGATTGTAGTAAAAGTAGTAGATAATAATTCAGTAGTAGTTGAATAATGAGTCACTGCAAATATGGAATTGTACATAAATGTGTCATTTTCACTGGTGTCAGTCTCTAAATACACACTTAGGTAATTTGGCCTAACGTGTACGTGTTCCTCAACGTCACATTTACTTTATCTCTAAGTAGCTGCTTATCATTCCATTGGTCTGGTTCAGACAGGTAACCATATCCTGACACGCTTTTAAGCCGCAACCTCTGTGTCCACTTGACACCATGGGCCCTGCGCACACTGAAAGAGTCATCTGGTTTTAATTCCACTGTTGCACTTGTGCATAATCACAAAACAGTCTTCTGGATAAAGAAGCCACACTTCCTTTAAGAGCATTTCAAGTATGTGTTATTTGGTTCTACTGAGTCTGCTAGACTCCTTGGACAAGAATAAGATAATTTCTTAAACAGTTTAAACAGACATCATGCTTTTCAACAATGATTACATTTCAAAATGAACCTTAGTTCTCATGACCGTTTCACAAAGACAAAATGTATAAAAAAGCTCCGACGCAGATAGCATCAAACACAGAATGAAAGCTACAGTGCGTAGTAAAGTTTGCTTGTGTGTGTGTGTGTTCGGCAGCACTCACCATCTCTCCGGCTCTGTACTCTTCTTGGCAGCTCCACACTGTTTTCCTTCCTTCCCTTCAGCCTCCCTCTCATCCAGACTCACAATCAAGAGTGACTCTAGCTCTAGTAAAGCACCCATTGAGTAATCTAACACCCCAAAAGAAACTAGAGCTGCCAGAGTAGGCTGTGCACAAACATGTCTTCACAAAGGCAAACATATAAACATAAGCACACGTAACTTCAAGTACTTTGAAAGTAAGGGGTCACCTGGCTTTATGCTCCCTCCCCCCGAGGCGAGAGAGTGAGCACCTCTCTGATAGGACAATTACTCTGCAGCAGCCAATCGCTGGTTGGTGTGAGACCCTCTCTTTCCTGCAGAGTAAGCATTCACACACAGGATCAACCCCCTTCAGGGACCGCGCCTTCCCCCTGATACAGCATTTGTCATCACTGCTCATACCTGCAGCACGTGCACATCTGTACAGCGCTTTTCTTTACAACCGCAGTAGAGACCACTGACAATATTCAGATAATTTCTATACTGCTCTTTTTAAGCATCGAACTATTGAAAAAATACAAACTCTCAATCTCTGAAAAATACTAATGGGTAAAGTGCAACCTCCTACCTACAACAAACAAAATGAAACCATCAGGTTGCTAAAACCTAACATACATTTTTAGACCATTTCTGTCAGTTTGGAATACATTGTGAAAGTCATGACCTTATGCATTTCCTGCAAATGTATTTTGAGATTCCATTTGCAGTAAATGTTTAGTTCAAAAGAAGTTATTTTGAACTATAAAAAGTGAGAGACAGGAATCGTTGCAAAAAATATCAATTCCCAATCAATTTCTACAGGGATTTTGAGGAGCACTTTAATTCAGAAGGGCGTCCAATTTGGCATGGCTGTGTGGCTATTGAGTTACCTGAGAGATAACCATACAGTCTGACAGAAACCTCCTCATCTGCTGCTGCAGCCGCTCTGTGTGTGTGTGTGTGTGTGTGTGTGTGTGTGTGTGTGTGTGTGTGTGTGTGTGTGTGTGTGTGTCTGCAGGCGGAGACTCAAGGTCATCAGAGTTTTACGAGTTCACTATCATTCCACTGTCACACACACTGCAGCAGAATTCATGTGGATTTAAACCAATTAAAGCATTACTAAAAAGAAAATCTCTATTTATTTAAAAATGGCTTAGAAAAGCAAGTATCAGCTGTGTTCGGTGTTTTCTGTGTCAGTCCAGTTTTGTAAAAGGGTGTTTATTTTATAGCCCCGGTCATTCCTGCCACAGCACTGTCCTCTATGGGACCTGACCACCTGACCCGTAAAGGGCGTGTTGACGAGGCGACTGCTCCGTCAGCATATTCATGTGTGAACAGTTTCGATGCTGCATATTTACACTGTGACTTTGTGCGACACAGATTGATCTTGTGGAGGGAAAGTTTCAATAAGATAAATCTGTTGTGTTAAGTATAGAAATGTAAACATACATTTAGATCGCTTCACCAAGGATCACATCTCGTAATTTCACAATTTGCTTGAGAAGGAGACATCATTCTGAGGATGACGCAGAGACAGTCATGCCCATGGCCCCTTTAGATTTTTAGGGCCATATTTTGAAGCTCATGATTCATGATAACACAACACATATTTCACTCATTGCTAGTGGTTGTCTGAAGTTTATTATGGAATAGAAAATAAATTCCAATTTAAATTTATAAAACTTAAAAATTACTCAAATTAATATTTTTTTGTTTGTGGGAGCTGTGGGAGGTTCTTCCTTCTATCCTTTCCCATGGTGAAGCTGCGTGTTCTTCTTCTTCCAGTTCCTGTAAATTCCTGGGCTGCCTTGCAAAAAAACTTCACATTTGACCTCTCAACAGATTGGTTACAGTTTGAAAACCAAATAACCATCAAAACATTGACACAAAATGTTTACATTATCGTCATGGTTCTCCTAGTGTGGCCAGTCATCACAGTGACTTTACAGTGTCTTAACAGTAACATCGCAGTGACTGAATAGTTTTGTCCATACTTTGGACCGTAATATTCTCTTGAACAGGACGGCTGAGAACAGCTGTCCGATCATCATTGTGTATTTATCATCATCGAGAGGACACCATTTGAGAGACATTGTGTAAGTTATTGATATAGAGTTACTGTCATTATTAGTTGTTGTTTTCCCTTTTTAAATAAAGAAGGAAAACAAAACTGTCTCAAGGATTGAGCAGCATGGGACACCGCAGTTGGCTGATTGTGATTGTTGTGTCTCAATGAATGTCCATTGTGTTAATAAATGTCCAACTATGGCCTCAAATGTCCCAGATCATCACTGTCCTTAGACCCTCCTACATCGGGAAGGAAGGACAGGATGTAGATCCAGGACTCAGGCTAGAACGAGGACTGAGGCTGTGCGGTGCAGGGCTGAGTAGGCTCCCAGGCGTGGGGGTTGGGGAGGGTTGCAGAGGGTTGCAGGTAAGAGAGGCTATTTTCAGGGGTCCCATCATCACACCATGAGCAGACCATGGGACAGCAGGTGAATAGCAATGAACAGACGACAGCTGGAGCCATAAAGATGACAGTTGAAGTAGGAGAGAGGAGAGGAAAGTGCTGCAGTTACTTCTGCCAGCAAAGTGTTCTGTCTTCAGTTGTATGGAAGAAATAATACCATCGCAAAAGAAACAGAAGCAAAAGCTGCAGGGACATCACCTGAGGCCGACAGTAACTCAATCTAAAATACCATATGCTCATCCAGAAGCACATCAGGTGGCCGATTAAATATTCCCTGTTAGTAATAGTATCTGTCGTTGGGGCAGCTGGTTATTCCAGTAGTAATCCTATATATCGTAGATGAGTTTCTTTCTTTTGAACATGGTGGGCAAGGTTGGGTCAGGGAGATCCAAGGGCACAGAAGAAAGACAGCACAGTTCAACAGAAAAATTCAATTCAATGACTATTTTTTGTTTTTTTACTCGTGAGGATACTTCATTTGCAGACAAAGCGCCAGTGGGGATCCATAAAAACACAGAGACACAGGATATAAAACACAAAATTTAAAAAACTATAAAAGTACAAAGGTAGATGCAACACCATGAGCCATTATTAAACATACAGTTTGATACAGTTTTTTGTTAAAGGTTTTATTCTGTTTAATGCATATTAATGTTTGTTATGATTTACAAATGATAGATATAATGTATTGTATCTATGGGTTTTGCATTAATACAAGCTACATTCAGAGATTTTATACATGCTTTATTATGCTAAAGTTACACCGGCAATCCTGATTAGTTCATTTATTTTTGCTGTCTTGAAGGAAGGGGGAACTACAAGGACCTGGCGAGAGACAGATTAGGTCTCTCCTGCCTCCCGTTTATTACAAACTGTGTATCTTGATCGTATAATATTTATAATTAGAGTAGTAATTGTGCTGACGGCGTTGAATATATTGCTCAATAAAAGCAATCAGAAAGATTTGTGATGACAAAAATTGCTACATTTTGGCAAAACATACAGTATGTCAATTTGAGTCAATTAGAACTAGATTTGCCAATGGGACAAGTGGAATTATCTTGTTTTAAAAAGATACAAAAAATGTTTCTCCTGGAATGAGAAAATAAAGCAATGGTTCTTGAAAAAAGACAAAATGGCTTTGTCCCATTGGCAAATCTAGTCAGAATGTACTTAAATTAGGATAAAACACACAATTTAAGCATTTATTACATTATACTTTATCAATGTTGCAGTATCCCCTCAATTCAGCCTTAAAATATCAAGTGCCTTTCTTCATTCGTCTCATTGACTTAATTTGTGTAAAGTCCCTGTGTCATCTTTCCCTAAATGCAGCCGTTTTAGAATAAATAAATAGTGTCCGACTGATCTCAGTTGACCTTCAGGGACAGTAGAGAGGCCTGTAACTCAGTCGCGGCACCACTTAAGGAAAACAACTGGTGGAAACATGAGGCTCATTTTTCTCTTTGCTGCTAAAGTCTCTGT